GGGAGTGAGCCCATCCGACCCTGGGGCGTCTGCAGGCGGGGTGATGGTGTGTGCTTGGTGGGTACAGGAGCTCCAGGGGTGGAGGGAGTGAGCCCATCCGACCCTGGGGCGTCTGCAGGCGGGGTGATGGTGTGTGCTTGGTGGGTCCAGGAGCTCCAGGGCTGGAGGGAGTGAGCCCATCCGCCCCTGGGGCATCTGCAGGCGGGGTGATGGTGTGTGTGCTTGGTGGGTACAGGAGCTCCAGGGGTGGAGGGAGTGAGCCCATCCGACCCTGGGGCGTCTGCAGGCGGGGTGATGGGCTGTGCTTGGTGGGTAAAGGAGCTCCAGGGGTGGAGGGAGTGTGCCCATCCGACCCCAGGGCTGCTGCAGGCGGGCTCAGGGGCTGTGCTTGGTGGGTAAAGGAGCTCCAGGGGTGGAGGGAGTGTGCCCATCCGACCCCAGGGCTGCTGCAGGCGGGCTCATGGTGTGTGCTTTGCGGGTAAAAAACATGGGAGCACGGAGGAAATGCGCCTTTTTATCCCAGAACCAGGCTCCTGGATGTCAAGGGGAGCTTCCCCAGCAGCCTGCCCGAGGAGGAGGCCTCTCAGGCGGGCAGAGCGTGAGAGGAAGAGAGCCCCTGGAGCAGCTAATCCTCCAGCTGCAGGGAGCTAGGGCTGCTGCAGGCGGGCGGGCTCAGAGGCTGTGCTTTGTGGGTAAATAACCTGGGAGCACGGAGGAAATGCGCCTTTTTAATCCAAGAACCAGACTCCTGGAAGTCAGGGGAGCTTCACCAGCAGCCCACCCGAGGAGGAGGCCCCTCAGGTGGGCAGAGCATGAGTGGGAGATCCCCGCTGGAACCGCCAATCCACCAGGTGCAGGGAGCTAGGGCTGCTGCAGGCGGGCTCATGGTGTGTGCTTTGCGGGTAAAAAAACATGGGAAATGCGCCTTTTTAAACCCAGAACCAGACTCCTGGATGTCAAGGGGAGCTTCCCCAGCAGCATGGCCGAGGAGGAGGCCTCTCAGGCGGATACAAGACGCTGGGAGACCTGGGTGAGTAAAAAATTAATAAAAACTGTTTAAAAAGGGAATAAAAACAAAGTAAACCTTTTAAAATTAAGAAAACCCATCTAAGCAGTAGATAATGGGAAGAAAACGTGGAAAAAATATGAAATAAATCCAAAAAAGCAAGTTTAAAAAAGTTAGACGGCGGAAAATTTTCAAAGTGTGCCGTGGAGAGGATAGGCCACAGGAGGGGTAGCCCCTAGCTACGTAATACCATGGTGGGATTTTGGTGCTACTGCGCTCAGGACCATGCCAGCAGGTTAGTAGGAAAGAGTGTTATCGGGCCGGTTACCGCACCAGGGTCCCCGGGGTGAGCCCACCCGGCCCTAGGGCTGCTGCAGGCGGGCAGAGCATGAGAGGCAGAGAGCCCCTGGAGCAGCTGATCCAGAAGCTCCGGGGAGCTGGGGAAGATGCAGGCGGGCTGATGGTGCGTGCTTTGCGGGGAGAAAACATGGGAGCATGGGGGGAAGTGCTCCATTTTAACACAGAATCAGATTCCTGGGAGTCAGGGGCGCTTCACCAGCAGCATGGCCGAGGAGGGGGCCCCTCAGGCGGGCAGAGCAAGAGAGGCAGAGAGCCCCTGGAGCAGCTGATCCAGAAGCTCCGGGGAGCTGGGGAAGATGCAGGCGGGCTGATGGTGCGTGCTTTGCGGGTAGAAACCCTGGGAGCATGGGGGGAAGTGCTCCATTTTAACGCAGAATCAGATTCCTGGGAGTCAGGGGCGCTTCACCAGCAGCATGGCCGAGGAGGGGGCCCCTCAGGCGGGCAGAGCAAGAGAGGCAGAGAGCCCCTGGAGCAGCTGATCCAGAAGCTCCGGGGAGCTGGGGAAGATGCAGGCGGGCTGATGGTGCGTGCTTTGCGGGGAGAAAACATGGGAGCATGGGGGGAAGTGCTCCATTTTAACGCAGAATCAGATTCCTGGGAGTCAGGGGCGCTTCACCAGCAGCATGGCCGAGGAGGGGGCCCCTCAGGCGGGCAGAGCAAGAGAGGCAGAGAGCCCCTGGAGCAGCTGATCCAGAAGCTCCGGGGAGCTGGGGAAGATGCAGGCGGGCTGATGGTGCGTGCTTTGCGGGGAGAAAACATGGGAGCATGGGGGGAAGTGCTCCATTTTAACGCAGAATCAGATTCCTGGGAGTCAGGGGCGCTTCACCAGCAGCATGGCCGAGGAGGGGGCCCCTCAGGCGGGCAGAGCAAGAGAGGCAGAGAGCCCCTGGAGCAGCTGATCCAGAAGCTCCGGGGAGCTGGGGAAGATGCAGGCGGGCTGATGGTGCGTGCTTTGCGGGGAGAAAACATGGGAGCATGGGGGGAAGTGCTCCATTTTAACGCAGAATCAGATTCCTGGGAGTCAGGGGCGCTTCACCAGCAGCATGGCCGAGGAGGGGGCCCCTCAGGCGGGCAGAGCAAGAGAGGCAGAGAGCCCCTGGAGCAGCTGATCCAGAAGCTCCGGGGAGCTGGGGA